TCCTTTCCCAATGGAGGCAGTATCACCTAAGATGGTGGGGGTAGGGGAACTATTACTCTTCTTATGTATAAATACTATCATACATATGGTACATGAATATATGTGTGTGTGTGTGCGCGCATGCACACGCATATAATATTTATACTGTTAATGTTTCAAGGGGAAACAGTTAGAAAAAAATCCCCCAAGGCCTCTCAGGAAGCAATAATGAAAAACAGATGAATAGAATGCTAAGATCACATCATTGGTCCTCCCTCTTCTAGACTTTACCCATCTTTTAGACTTGCTTTGAGTTACTATGCATGACTCTGCTTTCACTTCCAGATGTATAAAAGCCCTTTCCTTGTCTCCCCAGCTTTGCTTCAGCCAATTTTCCCTTGTATGTGGCCTTCAGACGATCTTCTCACATTCCCCTTCAATGACCTCTCTCTTTGTCACTCCCTGACCCCACTCCTTTTAGCTATATCTCTATTGGGAGTTAAGCATGATTTGTCCCTCTGGGTTCTATCAGTCAATTTTGTTTTTATCCTTTTATGGGGACACTAGTTGACCAAGGACCAAGACTCGAAATTATTCTGTCCAGTGAAAACTGTGCTATGCTTTAGGATGTGAAGAGATTGAATTCAGCCAGCTCATCTTCAAAGAGGACTTCTTCAATGATAGCTACTTCGGGGACCGCCTACGTGGTCAGATATCCACAGAAGAGCTGCACTTTGGGGAAGGGGTGCACCGCAAAGCCTTCCGCAGCACGGTGATGCGGGGCCTCATGCCTGTCTTCCAGCCCGGCCATGCCTGTGTGCTTAAGGTGCATAATGCCATTGCCCATGGGACCAGAAACAATGATGAGCTGGTGCAGAAGAACTACAGACTTGCTGCCCAGGTGGGTCAATGAGCCTGAAGGCATCTTTTCATGGTAACAGGAGATAAAAAATGAGATTCAGAGGCTGGGAGTGGTAGTACACGCCTTTAATACCAGCACTCTGGAGGCAAAGGCAAGTGGATCTCTGTGAGTTCAAGGCCAGCCTGGTTTACATAGTGAGTTCCAGGTCAGCTGAGGCTACAGGGAGACCCTGTCTC